GATCTCTGAAGCTTTAGTTGATACAAGTGTTGGGTTTGAGACAACAACAATGGTGGCTTCGAAGAAAAAGAGAGGACAAGAAGAAGTTGTAGTTGTTGGACAGAAACAGATTGTTCATAGAAAATCTCTTGATACTTTTGGACAAAGAACTTCTCAATACCGAGGAGTTACAAGGTTTTTATTTTATATTTTATTTAAATAATTAGTTGACTTTGGTTAGTAAAAATGCTTCTTTGTACTTATTATTCTAAAGATTTGTTTCTTTAATCATGTGAAAAAAACAGACATAGATGGACTGGTAGATATGAAGCTCATCTATGGGACAATAGTTTCAAGAAGGAAGGTCATAGCAGAAAAGGAAGACAAGGTTATTATAATATAATTGAAACTTTATAATATAATTGTTTATTTAACGTAACACTGACTTTGGGTTTTGTTTTTGTTTTTACTCTAATGATTTGATGATCTTCTTTCTCAAGTTTATCTGGGTTAGTACACACTTCAATCTTCATGGATTCATGATTTCCCCCTACATTTTCTCGGGAAAATAATGATGGATTTTGACTGCTTTTTATTTTTTTAGGAGGTTATGATATGGAGGAGAAAGCTGCTCGAGCATATGATCTTGCTGCACTCAAGTACTGGGGTCCCTCTACTCACACCAATTTCTCTGTAAATCATTTTTGCTCTTCCTTTAAATTTTTTATTTCCAACTTTATAATATATCTTTGACCTTTATTATTACGTTCATGGATTTTTATTTAAAGGTGGAGAATTATCAGAAAGAGATTGAAGATATGAAGAACATGACTAGACAAGAATATGTTGCTCATTTGAGAAGGAAAAGTAGTGGTTTCTCTAGGGGTGCTTCTATCTATAGAGGAGTCACAAGGTCGTTACATCAATCGTATACTATGTAGTTTTATTTATTTATTTCATAGTCAAAAATGTAGATACTAACTTTTGTGTGTGTGTGTGTCTCTTTGATTATAGACATCACCAGCATGGAAGGTGGCAAGCTCGAATCGGTAGAGTCGCTGGAAATAAAGATCTCTACCTCGGAACTTTTGGTAATTTATTTTGATCGTTTAAAAGAAAACCATTTTAAGTTTGCTTGTTTTTTACGGAATCTTTTTATTTACTCTCGTAGGAACTCAAGAAGAAGCTGCAGAAGCTTATGATGTAGCAGCAATCAAGTTCCGTGGCACAAATGCTGTGACTAACTTTGATATAACGAGGTACGATGTTGAACGTATCATGGCTAGTAACACACTCTTGTCTGGTGAGTTAGCTCGAAGGAACAACAGCATTGTCGTGAGCAACAATAACGGCGACCAAACCGCTTTAAGCGCTGTTGTGGACGGTGTTTCTACTAAGGAAGTGAGTACTCCAGAGAGAGTGTTGAGTTTTCCTGCGATTTTCGCGTTGCCTCAAGTCGGCCCGAAGATGTTTGGAGCAAATGTGGTTGGAAATATGAGTTCTTGGACTACAAACCCTAATGCTGAGCTCAAGACAGTTGCTCTTACTTTGCCGCAGATGCCGGTTTTCGCTGCTTGGGCTGATTCTTGATCGAATCTTAATCACTAACTCTGGTTTTCTTGGTTTAAATTACCAAGTGTTTCGGTTTATCACCGGTTTGAATTCAATTTCGGTTTAGTTTATCGGTATAAATAGTATTGCGTTTAGGAGCGGTATATGTTTCTTTTGAGTAGTATTCATGTGAAACAGAATGAATCTCTCTATAACATATGATTTCTTTTTCAGATCCTTCTCTCAGTTGCAGTATATGCGTACGTAATTACTCAAGTTTGGAGAAAACAAGTAAAATGTGTTGAAATGGTTATATAATGATTGCATGAATATTTAGAAACTATACCAACTTAAAAATGGTTATTTACGAAAGTAAGAATATTTAGTAACTGATTTGATATAAGGCTTTGGCCAGTTTTGGTGAAGATTAGAATGTTAATTTCTTGTAAAGATATGGAAAGAAAATATGTTAAAAGATAATTGTGCATGGAGTATGAAATGACCCATATCTAATAATTAGGTTTGTAGTCACTTTTTTTTTATGCTTGATACGTAGTTGTTTTAAGTAGATAGAAATAACAAGATGAAAATATGTAAATGTCTCTCCAATAATGCGATTTTGCTTTATTGACCATATCGTCCCACAACAATCCAACATACCTCATTTTCTAAATTCCCTCCTTTTGTCTCTTTTTCACACCCCACCGTATCAGCTTTTCCCTAAAGTTTCACCAAAAATTTTAAAATATTCCCTCCTCCATTATATTTTGTGATATTTTTTAAAAATAAATAAAATATATTTAAATGTGTACTAATATTTAAAAATTGTAGAATTTATTGCTTGAGAACTTTTAAAAGCCACTTACTAGGAGTATGAAATAATTATGCCGGTCGCAAAAATTAATGTAACCCATACGTGGGAGGTAAAAGGAAATGAGTGGTTCAAATGTTGATTTTGAACATTATTTATGTCATTCGCACGTGTTTGTCAAGTTTTTCCACACGTGTGTCTGAATTGGTCCAAACTCAGTCATCTATTGGGCCGTAGATAAATTTGGCCCACTTTATCTTCTTATTCGAAAACACGTGCGATGGTCATTGATTTTGTGTCTTTCATACGTGTGGTGTGGAAGAGTTGGTTTTATAGCCCATGGGCCAAGTTTGATTTCAAATTTTTCCATTAGTTTTGGACATTTTGGGTGTATGATTCGATTTGCTTAATCAATTTGATAATTATGTTAGGTTTATCAGTTTTTATTGTGATTGAGAATGATTTAGTAGAATTCTATTTTTGTTTATCAAAATTTTTGCTTAATCAATTTGAAAATTTTGGTTAATTTGTGGTGTTTGATTGGTAGGAATAAGTTGTAGGGTTTGATGCGTTGTAGTCCACATGGATTCATAGTTTTGAGGTTTGATATTTTTTTTTTGCTTTTCAATTGATCGAATTAATGGCACATTAAATGCGTGAAAATGTGAGTTTTGTTTGTTATACGAACCGACTATTGTTGTCACATGAGTGTTTAATAGATTTAATTATATAAATGTCAAATTGAACCACCATTGTTATAAAATATGGTATAGATCTAATCCGTTAACAGAAACCAAGGGTGTGTTAAAAGTCTACTGATTTGTATGTATTATAGTGTTGTTTGGTTCTTCCTCTATACCCACAAACGTATCATTTACTGGTACACATTAATTATGATTGTTGATGTTTGATAACAATTTCATAAATCGTTTTAAACCACATAAAACCGTTCTAATTCAAAATTTTCCTGTTAGTGTTTAAGGTGACATGCGATTGTAAGTGGTTAATTTGTTTTTAAAATATTTTCAGTATTAATGAAATTTGTATGTAGTTTAATATTTTTATGTAATTTTGTCAACAAACACATTAATTTTTAATCGTATAAATCGTCTAATAAGCTGTTACCATTTATATTTCCGAAATTTTTTACAACCGCATCCAGTACATTTAACCAATCAAATCCTAAACAAAAACAAAATTTATAAAGTTTGTAATTTAAATGTGACACATACCATAACTAATATCTTCCTCCTAACTTCTAAAAACATTTATGGAGTTTTGCGTAATAGAGAAACAAGCCACGATTTCAATTCACAACCACAATCTCTCTCCCAAACAAATAATACAACAAATCAAATCTTTCCTCTTTCTCTCTCTCTTCATACAACAAATTTATACCACAGCCATATCCACGCGTCGTTTCGTTGTCCTTATAACCACCGTCGTTGGCCACTAAAATTGCGGCGGAGGAAGATAATCGCTAAACCCTAATGGCTCCGACGATTGTCGTCGTCGATCACTTAATCCTCACAACAACATTCGTTGCTTCCCTTCTCGCGTTTCTGCTTCTCTTCTACATCTTGCGTCGCCGGAGCAACGAGAATTCAAATCGGAGCAAAATCAACGAAACCCTAAAAACGGTGAAATCTTGTAATGACGTCGATATTATCATCGTCGGTGCTGGTGTCGCCGGAGCCGCCCTTACTCATACACTCGGCAAGGTAATCACAAGTTTTTGATTTCATTCACTTGAAATTGTTTATAATAATTCATCAAATCCTTGCAACACAAGCTATTATTAGGTTTCTTTATCTATGAACAAATAATCTTAAGGATTTGATTTTAAGAGATTAAAGTTGCTAACTTTCGTCTTAATTTGAACATCTTAATTCAAGGAGACATGAGTTTTTGCTTTGTTTGGTTTCTCATTGACGTTACGGAATCAAATT